GTATTTGTTGTTAGTCTGGGATTTATTTACCTTCTGTAATTGAAACTTTGTTGCAGCTCCAGCTCTGAGGCCGGCTGGCTTAAAGCAGGTTTCTGGGGTTTGTTTAGCTTCTATAATTGGAACATTGTTTCTTAGAGTGCAGCTCAGAGGCCAGCAGTGGCAGGTGGGGAACCTTGGCTTCCTCCATCACTGGAGCAAGCAAGCCTCCTGTTCGCTTCAGCTGCCTGGCTGCCGGCCACCATCTTGGTTGGCAGTTAATTTGTATATCACCCTGATTAGCCAATTGGAAGTGTGTCGGAGGTATGGTTAATTACCATGTTTGTCTATTATTAGATGGGACTAAGCACTGTGTTATGCCTTTTTCAGGCATTATTTAGTATTTACAACATCTAATAAGATGTTATCAGATAGGATACCTAAGGCTTCAAGAGATTAAATAATTTATTCAAAGTTTTTGGTGTGAGGCAATGGGAAGATTAATCTATAATATAATATCAAGTAGTAAGAAGTGCCCTGGAAAACAATTAGGCAGGAAAGAGGAATAGAGTCTGGCTCAGGATGATGGTATGGAGAGATCAATTTAGATAGGAAGGCCAAGGTGAATCTGAGGAAGTGAAGTTTGGACGAAAATTTGTATAAAGCGAAGGACAGCTCGTGAAAGTTCCAGGGTAATACCATTCCAGACAGGAAAAAGGATGAGTACAAAGCCATGAAGTGAAAATGACCTTCCCATGTAAAAAAAAAAAAAAAAAGGCAAAGTAAACAACAACAAAAATCCAATGTGGCTATGATGAAGTGACTATCGATGATTAATTCAGAGAGATAGCCAGAGTCAGTTCATGAGGATATTAAGCATTGGTTAAGACATTGTCAGTTATTCTTAGCACAGTAGGACATCATTTGAAGCTTTAGAGCAGGGGGTAGACATAATTTTTTTTATATTTAAGGTATATTGTCTAGGGAACAGACGATGATAAATAAGGGATAGATGGAGAAATGTAAGACGTCAGTGGGACTAATTAGGAGGCTATTACAATGCTAGTCTAGGCAAAAGATGAGAGAGGGTGGGACCAGCATGGTAGAGGGGAAGGTGGGAAGGGGCAGCAGGACTGGGGATATATTGTAAATGCAGAGCCAACAGAAATCACTAATAAATTGAATATGTATGTGTGAGATAAAAGAATTACTCCTCTGTTTTGCCCTGAGCAAATGGGTGGATATTTGTGCTAGTTACTGAAATGGAGAACCTTAGAGATGGAACAAAATGGAAAATCAAGAAGACTGTTTTAGACCTGTCAAATTTGAGATGCCTCTTAGAAATTCCAGTAAAATTCTTGGGTAAACAATTGTATAAACTACTTTAGAGAGGTTTAGAGCTAAGAGTTTAGAAAATAAGGCAGATGGCATTTTTAAGCCGTGGATCTAAATAATCTAATTCAGGTTCTACTTCATAGTCACTCATCTCTTTATATGACTTTGAAGACTATCATATAGGTGATTTCAGTTGCCATAGCACTTAACACAAAAAGATAGTCTTTTAGTGATCTGTTTTGTAAATGTTTTCAAGCCTTAAACTCCAGAATGGAAGTTCTAGACAAAATTATTTTGATAGTAAATATTTATCTGTTCAAAATGCCCAAAGACCTGGTTGTTTTCAATCTAAACACCAGCTAGAAAAGTCAATATTTCCTTAGAAGGAAATGGTTTGGCCTATAAATATCAGCGGAATGCTTTCCAGAACACTAAGGCATTTCTTTTTGTAAAACAAAAAAATCTGAAGAGACGGAACAGGAAGGGGAAAGCTAGAAGGTGATGGGCTCCAAGAGTGTTGCTACTTTTGAGGCTAAAAAACAAATAATGGTATTAGTTGCAGACATTTAGGTTGTCTAAACAATTGTTTCTTGTTTTGTAGAATGATTGATGGGCTTCACTGCTTGGTTGAAATAGAATATAGTAAATACTGGGCCATTTATTCTACCCTAATGTCTAGTTACTACTTGTCTTAAAGAAACCTATGAAATAGAGATCTTTCCAAAATAATCTCAGAAATAATTGCAATCTCATCACAATTATTTAGTCATTTTGGTCAAAGGTCACGACAGCCGAAACCGGTTTGGCTCAGTGGATAGAGCGTCGGCCTGCGGACCGAAGGACCGGTCCCAGGTTCGATTCCAGCCAAGGGCATGTAACTGGGTTGCGGGCACATCCCCAGTAGGAGATGTGCAGGAGGCATCTGGTCGATGTTTCTCTCTCATCGATGTTTCTAACTCTCTATCTCTCTCCCTTCCTCTCTGTAAAAAATCAATAAAATATATATTAAAAAAAAGGTCACGACATATTTTTATATAAAAGTTGGTGGTATTATTGTTTTTTTTTCTCAACTAGAAAGCATTTTCTTATGATCATCAATGTAAATATTAATTTTATGTATTCTGTTTTGATATGAAGTAAAGCTATACAATTTTAATATACACCTGTGAGTATATTCCATTTGTTTATTAGTTTCTATATGCTTATTTATTTACTACTTTATCCAAGTAGCTTATATTAACTCATAAAATGAAATAAGAAAAAAATAAATAAAGAAAAAATTAGGTCTATGATAAGCCTAGATAGAATAAACATTCAACAAGAAGAAGAAGGGAAAATTAGAACATGTAAGTGCCGTACATTGTTAAACATCATATTTATACAGTAAATTTCTCATGAAATCTGCAGGTGGTGAATAAATG